ATTACATTTTGACATTCAGACTTTAAACATATAAAATCTGAATGTGAACACAATATCATGTAACTATTCTTGATAGATCTATCTATATGCTCAGGTGCAAGTTTATGCTGACTATCTGTCACATGTGAAAGAATTCTAGCTAAATTGTTTTGGAGGTGTTTATGGAACACTGAATCAACAATTGTGGATGTTTCTTATTGTTCCCAAATAACAGAGGGCCCCATTCATATATAATATAAAATAAGTGATGGTTTAGCAACTTGGGAGTCATTGTACAGACACCCACTCAGAGCTCTTAATAACATATCCTGTCATACAGTGAGTGACATTTTTCTGTTAAATATGCAATCACCAACTAAAAGTGGTCACAAACCAGGAAGTATTAACTGTAGTGTACAAGAAGAATTAGTACAATAAGGGAAATATCTGTTTAATGCTAGATTTTTTCTTACAGTGCTAGACTACTAATGTAGTCTAATGCTACTTATTGACTACTTAATTCAATAAGTAGTATTAGAATAAATCTACATGCTAGATTTATTGCTAGACTACTATTTTTACTTTTAAATCCTGCCCCCACCCCGGGTAACTCAAATATGGTGTATATAGTAGTTCAACAATGACATCCTTGTAAGATACAGTACATTGAACTGACACCCTACAAAGGCACATGCTTGAGGCTGAATTTCAACCTAGATCTCCCTGGTTCAATCTAATACTTTATTTCAGGTGTGCCCAGCCTTATGATTTGCCTGGGCCACAATAAGTAAAGAAGAATTATCAGGTTGTGCCTAAAATATGTAATATACTTAATGTATATAAATAACAACTTCATTTATGTATGAATGTATGTATGAATATATGTGTGCATGTATATATATATTATGATCTTATGGGGCCACATTACTAGCTGTCTAGACTTGATGCGACCAAGGGGCCACCAGTTGGACACACCTTACATACAGCACCACAATGGCCCTGTACAATTTAGCATTATAGTGATTCACTAATTTTGGCATTAGCTGCAGATAGAACAATATCTAAGAAATAACACTAGGTTACATAGCTTTAATTTGGGGGCAGGGGGAATGTTTCTTCTTCATGTGGTATAGGTACCATATTAGATCTTTGTGGACTCACTAAATCCAAGCAAAGATAACAGTCTCATATGGTATTTTTCAGCACCTAGGGAATGCATTAGAGCAGGCATGTAAAACTCACGGCTCGTGGGCCAGATGCATCACTTGCTGGCCCATTCCTGCCCCGTTTAGTGAAGGGGGAAAAAAGTCATGACACCACCCCTGCATTAGAGAAACTAAGGCATTACCGTTACTTGTTGCAAGGAAAAAATAACTTGCTCTTATCCTTAAAGAAACATTTTTCCCTTTCCAAATGAAAACTACTCAGTCTTATTTGAACTAAGGCAAGTAACAGAGCTTGACACCTCTCAATGAGAGAGTTTTTTTTAAAAAATGATACTCCATTCTTCTTTGAAAACGCTATAAGAAATTACAATGTCCAAAAAAAAACAGACTGCTTAAAGGGCTCAGAATGATTTGGGACATTTCAGAAGCAACTCCCAGCAGCTTCACAGACTCAGGTCGACATAGCAATTGCTTTTGGGCTCAAAAGCTGTAAGGGCATAGTCAGCTCCAAACTGTGGGAAATTACTTTTATGCAGATGAACATAAAGCACTTTATATGGTTTGCAAATCTGTGACAACTCACTTCCCCAGGTTTTACAGCTCAACACACTCAGCACTGAATGTTAAAGCCATTTCATGTTTTGCTCATTTACAATAACTGTATTTAGTCTCTGTAACCAAAGCCATTTAGTGGACACAAAGAAGACAACATCAATCTTGCGGTCTTCTGCTTAATCCTCAAGCAATTTTGGTTAGCAATTATAATCTAGGAGAAATGGATTAATGTCCTATAAATGGCTCTGCATACTGAGTAATTCTGAGTAAGTTGTTATGTACATTTCAAAGTCCTCCAAGAAACAGAGAAAAAATATGACAACACAAGTGCAAAGGAGCAGTAGTGCTCCTCCCACCTTCCACCAAGCCTCCTGTGAGGACAGATTTTCTCCAAAACATTTCTTTACATAGCCTTTGCTATGATTTCCATGAAAGATTATTGGTCCATGACAACCACATAAATTTTAAGTAAAAGTTAGTCACCAGAATGTGGTTTTCTTCCTTATTTACTTTGCAAAACAAAAAGCAAAACAACAAGAACGAAAGTGTCAACAGAATTGAAGGAAAACTACTACCAAGACCAAAATCATAATATGAGGGGAAGAACTAATAAAGAGTCTACACTTATGCACAAATACAAATTACCGTTCTGTGAGAAACACAAAAACCATAGCTACAAGTTATTCACTAGGATTTGATTTGCTGTTTGGTTTTACTCTCTCCTCTATCAGTTGAAACATGAGTAAACAAGTTCATTAGTTAATAAAGTACACGCCCTGAAACTGTCTCACCGAAACATTCACTTTGTCTCATTTAAAGCCCTAGATGAAGTAATCAGTCTCTTTACAATAAGCTTCTTGATAAAGGCCAATGCCAAAGCAACGTTGCAGTTAAATCACAAGGTGCCAGGATGCAGTGAATAATACAAACACAAACAGGCAATTTATATACAAGATTTATGCTACTATTTTTAGCTTCCAAGTCCTCTACATAGTGGACAATTGAGAACACTATTTCTAATATGATAAAAAAATTGATTTCAATCTATAATGCCTATTTATTTTTAGATGAAAAAGTTGTAATGCCAACCTTTTAAGTCCAGAGGGGGAAGCATCTTTATGTTTTGAAGTTGTGAGGTAGCCAGTGGCACAGGAAATAACATGGGGCTGGAAAAAAATTGGATTTACCTAAGAGCTTGTCTACAGTGGCCCCTTGCTCAAGAGAGGAGGGGGTCAAGCTATTTTCCAAAGCACCTCAAGGCCAGACAAGGAATAATGGATGGATACAGAACCAGGAGAGATTCAACCTGGAAATCAGGATAAATTTTCTGACATTAAGAGCAATCAACCCATGGAACAGCTTGCCTTCAGAAGTTGTGGGAGCGTCATCACTGGAAGCTTTCAAGAAGAGACTGGACTGCTATCTGTCAGAAATGGTGTAGGGTCTCCTGATTGGGCAAGGGGTTGGACTACATGATCTACAAGGTCCCTTCCAACTCTGTTAATCTGTTAGAATGGATCCAACTGCCCAGGATATCATGAATACAACCACCAGGCACATTTTCCTGCCAGTGTTGCTTCAACTACTGTCGTCCATTTGGCTGGGGTACTTGAGTTGTTCAAAGCCAATCTCATCATTTTATTGGTTGCAGCACGAAGTACCAGGAATGAACCTCACCCTAACCAGTGGCCAACACCCCCTGTGCTATCACAGGTTACGGTGAGGGGCATTCCTGGCACTTTATGCCCCTTGAAGTTTTTTTTTTCCCTTTAAGAACTTCACAGGTGGATTACTGAAAACCCTCATACACTAATTCACTATGTTTTAAACTGTAAATGTGGTTTCCCACATGAAGCAACCAAATAAGCAGCATTCTCTGTAACAGTTACATTTTAAATAAAATAATGACGTGGATAAAGTGTTCTCTCATATTAATTATTTTCTTATTTGGGGCTCATAAACTGTACATAAATAGTAAAAAAATGGGCTGTTTAACTTTGTGTCATGTGGAATTGTATCAACTTCTTTTCACTCAGGAATCAACTGAAATAGACAATTTGACCAGATATGCTGAAACATTTGCATGCAGCTGGATGGACATATAGATAGGTTGACATCTGCCCAAGCCTATATTCCTTCTCTCAATGGAGGCAAGGCCAAGATGCAAGATAAATTAAATAGCATCTTATTAAAATGAATTGCCTATAAAATAACATATAAATTCTACTTATAAAAGCAATTGCTTATTTGCGTATATTATCCTGATTGGCCAGAGGCTGTATTAAAAATTCATTCATTCATATACTATTCATTTTTTCTCTCATAGAAACCATTGATGTAGATACATTCTAAACTGCCTTCCAGCAGAGAAAAACAGCGATGCATTAAAGTATAATTGGCAGAGAAGGAAAGGAGAGAGCCTTGATTTAGCCATTATAAAAAGGACTAAAATCACTAAGGAAGCAGCCAGCACATATGTTCCCACAAAGCGACAGCTGATCCTGAGACAAATCCTAAAGACAACCATGTTTTTCTGCAGCAATCTTTGCAGCTGTTTACATATTTACTCATCCTCCTCTTTTCACTTTCATTTATTTGTCTATAAATCTCCTCCTTTCAACAATTCAACAACTATTTATTGGAGAATTAACTACCGTGTTTCTCATATAATAAGGCCGGGTCTTATTTTTTTTTTGAGCCCAGAAAAAATGGCTAGGCTGTCTTTTTGGGGATGACTTAATTCCCCCCCCCCCCGCATCTTCAGCGGGTGGCGGTGGCTTGGCATTGGATGTTGACCTTGGCATTGGTGGGGCACTTCGTATCGGGGTCAACGCAGGCAGCACCATAACCAGGTGTGCAAAAAAAGTACTTCCTAACGGCAAGCCCCCCCCACCATTCCCCCCATTTCTCATGTTTTAATATAGGCCTTAATTTGGGGGGAGGGGCTTAATTTCATTTCATGCCTATAAAACATGCTGGGACTTCCTATTGGGGGAGGCCGTATTGTTGGAGAAACAGTGTATTACATAGATCAGTCTGGACCAACTCCCAGAATTCCCCAACCATTTGGCACTTGAAATTCACACTTCTTACAGTCATTGAGGATAAGAAACACTGATATTGATGACTATTCACAATTGGCTATAATGTAATTCTAGCAGGGATAAAAATGTTTCTGCCTTATTTTAAGTGATATCATCACCCACACATTACTGCAAAGCATATTTCAGCATGGCACATATTTTTAAAACAAACACAAATGCTGCAACAGGTCAAATAAATATTAAATAGTTGACTTACCCATTCTTCTACATTAGGAGTTTCATCATAACCTTTTGTGTTATCCCAGAGTATACTCATTTTGCCATAGTAACCTATTTTACTTCGGGTCTTTACTGCGAAAAATATTATTATAGCCAAAGCTGCAGAAATCAGGAAGCCTAATACAATGGCAATAGCCTGGGGAAAAAAACAATTAGTATGTTTAGACTACTGCTTTTACAACCCCAAATAATCTTAAATAGAATGTCTGTCTTTTTCAAATTACAAATAAACAACATGGAATCATTATATGGTTACCTAAAAAATGAAAAATTCAAAAATATATTCAACCTGTTGTTTCCACTATATTGGGAAATTTTGATTTATACGGAAAACTAAACAAATTGGGGAAGAGCTTCATAAACATAGAAATAAGCATTATTTACATGAATGCACACAGCATGCATTATTTTAACAATAATATTTATGCAGTAAATAAATATGTCCCTCATATTTTACCGAATTCAGTCTGATGGAGCACTGAAAAAAGAATCTAATCTTCTCCATGTTTAATCTACAGTATATTTTTCCAGTCAAATACAAACATTTTGAATATAGTAATCAAAATATGTAATAAAGTTAACTTTTTTCAATAAAATTATAAACATCTTTTTAATGAGCAGATAAATTCCATATTCCCCATTCATATTGATTTGCTTACAAAGAATAAAGCTTGCACAAATGCAATATATATATCCAAAATTCTTTTCCATTTACATAATTTCCTTTGGCAATAGCATAAGTTAGTCTAATCAAATAGAAACAACTGCAGTCAATACATTTAGCAAAAGATTTTATAAATGAAGTAGAATTTTATTTAGGGAACATAGAGTTGGACTGAAAATGTACAGGTAAAAGCATATAATGATATACACATGCAATCAAACCATTGTTGGAACCCTCAACTTATATGATAGAATGAAGGAAGTTCTAGCTTCCACCTTTTGTAGGTTAATTCTTATCTAAACTGGGTAGCTATGGAAGTAGTATTCTCCTAATGAACTACACTAGAATTTCAATAATCCCAAAGTTAATGGCAGTTATTAGGGGTGTTGTAGCCCAAAACATCAACAATGTTGATGCCAAAGCATCATCAAAGTTGATGCATTGATGATGCTATCTAGTTTAGTCATAAAATGTCTGCAAGAAAACAACCAACCTTACAGAGCACCAAGATTCCCCCCAAAACTTCTAGCAAGCATTGTGTCAGAATCTGTTTAGAAGGAATGAGAACCAAGATATTTCTTTTTTGTTTGTTTGTTTGTTTTGTTTTCCTATAGTAAGAACAAAAAAAAAAATCATACTGCTGAAAAAAATGGGTGGCTAACATTCGGTGTCCTGGACAAACCAGTGAAATCATTTCTGCATAAAACTAAGTTTTAATTCTATTTTTACTTAAAATACAACTAATATTTTGCATTGGGGATGATACTAGTTTATTTACATACCTCCTGAGGTTCCACCATACAGTAGTGATATAAGTATTGATTCACGTAGAGCCCAGCAGTTGTGGATGTGTAAAACTGGTTGCACATCATATAGATCTGATTGTAGATCACTGATCCAGAAGCTTGTGCAGTTGGGTTGACTGCTAGTGTATATACAATTGCAGCAATGAACATCAAGAAGAGCAATATAGAGCTTGCTATTATCACTAAGAGATAATATTTCCTTGTCCTGGCCATCTTAGTCTTTGTAACCCCAGTTACAAAAGCCATCAATCCAGCAATAAAGCAAAAAGCTGCCATTGCAAGTATAAAGCCTTTTGCTCCGCGTGGATCAATATAATTTCCTCCAAGGCCATATGCATTATTATAGCCAAAACCACTGCTGCCCATGTATCCACCATAGTTGGTTCCAAAACCTCCATAGCCAGGTAACCCGAAACCAGTTCCTAGTCCACCTCCATACATGTCCATATCCCAAGCCAGAGTAGAAGCAACACATGCAAAGACCCCAATAGACATGACTAGTATGAGAATTGACATGATCTTGATTATTCCTGGTGGGGAGGACCATTTGTAGAAACGTTGCACTTCATCTTCCGGATAATAAGAATACGCTGGTTGAGAGTGCATAGGCTGAGAATGGAATTCACCACCAAATGTATTGTTGCTTGATAAATAGTGTGAAGGTATGCTACAAAGATTTAAAAAAAACTATTAGACACTACTTTATCAAAGCAAATAACATTAAACATCAAGTTTACTTCTTTACACTTCTCCAAAACGTATTTATATATGCTACATATTCATATGTATAATCTGCCATGATCAAATACAATATGCACGTAGAAAGTCCGTAAGATTTCTTGCTGCTTCCAAGAAATGTTTATCATTAAGTAGTGTTCAGCTGCTAATGTCTGACCAAAAGATTTAATGAAGCAGGGAATTATGTGCATGTATGTAATAGTCATTAAACTGTGGTGAGATGGAAGTCATTTCCATAAATGGTACTTTTTAGACATATGAGAGAAAATTAGAAAATCAGATGGAAAATATATTTTATTAACATTCATCAAATTGAGCCGTCAGTCTGGATCAGCAATTAATGTTTCTTCCATTAAAATAAATACCTTGGTTAAATGAAGCTATGGTCAATTATTGTGATATTTCTATTACTGGAGAAGTACATTTTACCTCTCTTTCAGCTCAAATTTGTATTTAATTAGATTCAAAGCTCCCAAATATTTGTGTGCCTGCTGTGAAATATTCAGCTATTTTGAAAATATATAAAAGTTTTAAACAAAATGAGCGGGTGCTACAGTGTATCTTAGCTTTAATCATAATATAATACACTAATCACTGTACATACATTTTAATAGCTTTGTCATTATAAAGAATTAAGAAATTCTGGATTAAGAAACAATGGAAAAAACTGCGAGAATCCATATTTTAATAGTGTACTTTACTTATCTACAGTAAATGAAATAAGATATTTACTATTCATCTGGACGATACGGTGGAGGACTTTCAAAAGGTTTGGGTGACATAGTGGAACTTGGGTTGTGATGTTTTTACCTATAGAAAAGATACTCCAATAAGTTATTTAATAACTGAATTGAAGCAAAATGCTACCAACTATGTGAAATGCTAATTTTCAAGATTAAGTTCATGGTGCAACACAAATCTTTTAGCCAAGAATACCTGGAATGATGAATTAAATTATTAATTCTCTATATCACAATCAGCTATTTTCAATTATCTATTTTTAATTGTATAATTTACCCTAGTAATTCACAGGCAGTTGTTTAGATTCACTGTGCAATCTTACAGAAATGCAGGCACTCCTCACTCAGTGACCACAAATGAGACCAATTATTCCAACATTTCGTAAGTGAAGTGGTCTCTAAATGAAATTGAACTCATGTTCTTACTTCAACATTCCTTTGCTTTATGCACATGCAAAGGTTGTACCATAAATGCAAGGATAGGTTGCAAGGTTATTTTCATCACCCTTGTAATTGTCACTAAACAAGGCAGTTCCCTAAATGAGGTATACCCATAATTTGGAGATTAGCTCTTCTGCATCTGTTTATTTCAAACAAATATGTAGACTTCCACTGAAATATGCATCATAGATCCTGCTCCCTCAGAGCTTCTATAGTAAGTAATCTTTTTAGTCTAGATAAAAACTGCAATGTCACATTCTGAACATATTTTATAAATAAGGAGGTAGCAGGAAATGTCAAAGGAGCTCCATTCATAATGTTCCTTTTATTGATGAAAATTTTTTTCACCTCTTTCAAGAAAAGTAACAACCAGAAAAAAAGTATATCGTGCTACAGACAAGGCACACAGTTTTTTTTTTTTTTACTAAGGGTAACCTTAGTTCAAACCTACTGAAAATATTCTTGCTCTCAAAGCACCTGTTGTTTTTTAATAATAAAATATAGTGAAAACAATACAGTGCAGAATGTTTTACAACTATGAACCAGACCTAGGATGATAGTAACATATTAATTGCTATATTACATTAATTCACCAAAGTAATACCATAAATGTGTTTATTTAAACATATCTGAATAAATCAAACATAAGATTATTAAAGGAATCACATTAATGGACGGGATGGCACTATTGCAAGAAGCTGGGGTTGTTGTTATAGGAAACACAGCCTAACACTAAAGACTTCATTTTTTAGCAAATTTCCTGAAGATTTGTCTTTAGTTCTTTAAGAGCAAACTTAAAGATGTTCACAACCATAGATTGGAAAAAATAGCTCAGTGTAAAATACAAAACGACTTCATTTGCAAAGAGCAGAAAAATTCATGTACCTGCCAGATATATTTAAGTTGGACACACTTGTAAGTCAAATTAATACTAAAGGAAAATAGGCATTAACATTACCAGAAGATGCTTTCCAATTTATCAGTAGAAGAAAACAATGGCACTTTAAAACCTGGCCATGGAATCAGTTTGTAATATACTGTCTTTATCGAATGCTTAAACTGCTATCAAGAAATTATGTCGAGTAGGTATAGGACAAAAGTTAAGATAGCATACAATTTCGGATGTATCCTGACCAAGGCTTTCATGTGGCATAATCTTCTCAATCATAAAATGCTATGGAACAGGTAGAAAATTTTTGTCAAGTCTAATTATATCCCACCGTTCTGGGGTGTTTTTTTTTTCTTACACTGAAAATAAATAACAGGGAGCAGTGAAATAATTAGAGACGTTTATTTGCCAACTTTTAAAAACCATCTCAGTCACCTGCTAAATGCACCTATATTTGCTACAACTAAGGAGTGTAACTAGCTGGTATATGGAAACACAGTAAGTCTTGATAAATGGATATTTAACAGAAATTCTTTCCAGAGGAAAAGTAGACAGATTGAGGCTTAGAACACACATCAAGCTAAGTCAAAAATGCAGGTTGCTTGTTTGAAACGCAGCCTCCAAATTTAAAAGGTACAAAGTTGATTGTCACTCAGCATAAATATCCCCGAGGGATCCTTATCAAGGGATAAATAAATATCCCTTGAAACTTAAGGAGAAAAATAAAAGAGAAGACCAAGGCACATTCCACCCCCTCCCCATTTCCTGCGTTCCCTACGGCTCCCCCACCCTCCTCCGGCCACTATTGCTCAACTTTAGGAGAAGCCTGAACAAACTAGTTTGATCCAGAGAGATCAGAGCTACCCGGTTCAGAGGCCGTGGGAACGACGTACCTTTCCAAGTCCTAAAGTTAACGCGACTGCGACAGGCACAGGGACACTTATCTCATCAGAGTTTCAATTCGGAGCAAAAACAATTAGGGAAAGAATTCCTTCCGGGCTCCCCTCCGAGCGCCTCTAATGCTGCTCAGCCCTGATCACCAGCTCCGTTGAAAGGCAACCTTACTTACGTCGCCTTCACGGAGCTCCAACCACCTGTTGAGGTTTCGCACTTCTTTAAGAGACGCATCGCCTCCTTCAGCAGCCCAGGCAGGCTATCTCGCGCGCGCCACACCCAAGCCCGGAGAGAGCATGCGCAATACCTACATACCTGAGCAAAGGGAGGGGAGAGGCGCCTTCGCCCCGCTCGGCTCCATTGGCCGAGCGCTTTCTTCCAGGCCAATTCGGGGGCGGGGCGCGGAGGGACCCAAGAGGCTGAGATGCGAAGAGTAGCGCCTTTGTCTCTCTGTGTGACCCAAACACCTGAAACTCGCCCGCGGGCAACCCGTAGGTTGGTCGGATGAGTCCTTCAGGGCGGGAGAGTCCCTTTAACGCAAGGAGGATTTGTTTCCAGAGATTGTTTCGCTGCCGTCCGACAGTTTCAACCACAAGCAGTAGCAGCTCGCCAATAAATAATTAGACTAAGGCTTGTCCAGCGTTTTCCTCTTACTGTAGCCATCTAGATAGCTTCTTCCAAGGGGAAGCAATTTATTTTTCTGCCTGGCTTCCGTGGAGGCGAGATCTCAAAAAAAGAAGAGGCGCTCCGGGACAGCCACTTCGACAAACTTGGTGCTATATACCTTTTGGGGTGATCGAAAGTTTCAGATGGGGTTTATAGCTTATTTACTCCTTTGTAATTATCACTGGAGTCATAATGTGCAAATAGGCACTGCACGCACACAAGTTTCGTTGAAAAGGAATGTTCAACTTCAGGGAGACAGCCCCCATCTCAGAATTATAAGGTGGGAGCCATGCTATGTGTTTCTCAATTTTTCTCAATTTTAGCAATGTTAAGTTGTGCGGACTTTTAACTCTCAGAATTCCCCACTCAGCAAGAGAAACACTGCTAGAAGAAGAAGTGCACATCAAGTGGCCTGGAGAAATGTTAGAAGTGGAGGCTAGACAGACACACCAAATAATGTTACCAAACTCTGATTGTTTAGTCTGTGACAGAAGAGAAATATTTAATACATGGTTGAAGAGAGATCGTGACTAATTTTAAATACAGATGAAAGAAAGAAAAAATCAGGGTTGTTGTGCCATCAGTCAGTACTTTCTGGAGCTCATTTATTTATTCAACTTGTATTGCCATCCAGCATCACTCAGTGACTGGGTGGAGCCTAGCAATAAAACAACACTGAACCAAAACAAATGAATTAAAACAAACATAAGGCATGCAATAAAAACTACATTAAAACACATACCATAATAAATGTAGACACTAGCAAATCCAACCAATACATCACATTCAACACAGGCATTGTAAAAGCTGACTCTCATAGCAATGGCAAAGTCATTACTCAACTTTCAACTAGTTTCCAATTTATTTTTAGGAAAGATTGTTGAGTGAGTAGTGGCCCCTGGATGAAGTGAGGTCTTTTCAGTCAGGGTTCAGGTTGGGTTAACCACTCAAACAAGGTTAACCAGGCTTGTGGATGACAGACAGTGGTAGTCCATCTATTAAGACAGTGATTATCCATCTGTCCTGACTCCTGGATCTCTTAGTGTCATTCAATATCATTGACGATATTATCCTGACTCTGGGTTGGGAGTTGAAGGCACCGTGATTTTCCTCCTTTGTGTCACGTTAAGCTGGGTTTGGGTAGTGGGGGAAAGGTCAAACCCTAGGCCCCTGGGATTTGGAATAGCTTAGGTAGGGCTCATATATTTCACCCCTCCTCTTTAACATCTATATGAAGCTGTTGGGAAAGCTCATCCAGTAGCATGGATGCAATATCATTAATATATTGATGATACCCAATTGTATATTTGGGTACAGCTGATCAAGCAACAGTGTCCCAGTGTTGGTCCAGTGATTGGAGGTTGTAAAGGTTTGATTGGGAGGACCAGCATTGATTTAATGCTAGCAAAATGCAGTGGCTCTGAGTTTTGATCCTCCTGGATCCGGTGAGGTATTATCTGACTCTTGCCAGGATTGCAACTATGGGTAGGGGGGCAGATTCACACAGATTTATCTTGTGCATAGTTCCTATTACTAGCCAAGAGGCCTTTCTCATAGTCACTCACACCCTAATCATTTCTCGGTGGAATCATTATAATATGTTTGACAGAGGGTTTCCCATGAAGACCATGTGGAAATTGCAACTGGTCTACAGTGCAGTGGTGCAGACGCTTTTGGGTAACGTATAGTTTGTCCATGTTATACAGTTGCTACACAGGCTTCTAGTTTTTCCAGGGGTAATTCAAGATTCTGATATCATTTTTAAAGTCCTGAGTGACACAGGAACAGATTGTTTGTGAAACGCCTCTCCCTGAGGATATCTGCCACTGTACCAAGTCCAATAGGGTGGCCGCACCCAAGTCCTTTCCCTTAAATGTTATCATACCATCACTAGCAGCCCTTGCCCTTTGAAATACCTTCCCTCTGAAATCTGGCAGGTCCTTACCCTCCTAGCCTTCTGGAAAGCCTTGGCTGGAAGATCTGGCTCTTTCTACCAACACATTGGAGTAACGTATTAGCTGGAAACCAGAAGTGTTGTTTTGTGCTTTTTATTGTCTTATTATTTATAAACTGCCCAATATTATGGTAAATGATGGCCAGTTATATAAATATTTTAAACCAATCAAATTTGGGCCAAATCAGGGACCCCTTACAGTATTCAATATCATCCTGGGCCATGGATTGAGAACTGTTCTTTTAAGGAGCATTTGAAATGTTGGAATATATACCCTTGGGAACTTTTAACACTGTTCAAGCTTCAGAGTAGTAACAGGGCTGTGTGGCATTTTTCTATTCCAAAAAAGGCACCTCAAAATATATGAGGGTAGCTGTGTGGTCCCAGGAAAAGAGGTAGCTTCTATTAAAAGTTCTAAGAAGATGCTTCATTCAAACTTCCATTTGCTCCAAAGCATCTTATAGTATTTGTTTATATTTAAATGTAACTTGCTATACTGCCTGCCCAATTGTTGAATAGTCTCAGCCATTTATAATGGAAAAGATAAAATGACAAGTAACAACAAATAGCAGGTGAAATTAATAATCAACTCTTCAAATTAGCAGTTGAAAATATGTGTTTTGAAGATTAAAAAAAAACTCATAAAGATCTTAGGTCCTTCAGGAATTCAGTCATTAGGAGTTATAGCAATAGACAAAACCTGTAAATGCACAGATTTTGTAGGCATGCATTCCAAACAGCTTGGATGGCAACAAAGAAAGCTTGTTCACCAGTTGTTACAATGGCAATTCTCAGTAAGCATAGAATTGCATATAGAAAACTCTGTTCTCCCAAATAATCTGGATCTAAGGAATGTAGCATGTTCAAGATAATTTATTGTACTTTGTATTTTGCCCAGAATTGGCAAATAAATTTGGCCTTGAATGCAAAGCCTTCCGCATTAGTACTAATTACCTGCTTTGCCCACAAGGCAGGCACAATCTGGTGAACTGCATAGCAACAGATCTATTTTCCGATTTCAGTGTGGCAACTTTCTGAATTTCAGAGATACTTCTTACACTGCAGCATACATACAACCATGATATCATGACAACAACTTTAGAGCCATTATTGGATCTAATTACATAATATTTCCACCCAATTAGATAAAAATACAATACTGGCAATTAGAAAATTATTTTCTGGAGGATATTGACATCTGAAAAAGTGATCCAGTTTGGTGTGGTACAGTGCTTTTCAAACTTGGTAGCTTTTAATATATATGAACTTCCAACTCCCAGAATTCTCCAGTCAGCATGCTTACTCTATCCCTTCTGTGATTCATTTATTAAAAATGATGAATTAAAGAGATCGATATATCCCAATCATTATAGATAGGTTCAGGTTGCTGTTCTTCTACAGCATTTAAATCTTTTCTTTTCACTTCACATTCCATTGCCTTGCAATGGAATAATGTCCCAAGTATCTTTCTCTGAACCAATTATCTTGAAAAAACAGATGTCAAGCATTTAAATGAGTTGCTAACACAAAGATTAACATTTGGCAAATGACAGAATATAATATAAAGCAGTTTGCTGCCTCAGGATACAAACCTCAAACACATGGAGGTTTGATTAATACTTAATTTAGTGGTGATGGTTAGAATATAATCACTTCAAAACACTTTCAGCTTTTGAATTTTAAACACAGTGTGGTAGGATCAGTTTGCAAAAGTAAGAAGCTGAATGCATAATAATAAACTATTGCAGAATGCAATTACCATTTATGATTGCCCATATTTGGCAAAGCACTACACATACCTGCTGCGTTGCCTAAATTCACTTACTTATATGCAGTAAAAAATGAGAGGCAAAAGATTGAGACAAATCACACTACATATGAAATCATTCTGATCTGCCAAACCTAATACATCTTACAACTATTCTGAAGCATTAAGGGAATGGGAGTGGGAGGCTTCCGGGGATGGGAGTGGGAGGCCTTGTGCTGTCTTAGTTCACTTCCTTCCTCTGCGGCTGCTCTCAGTCAGTGTTGATAGGAGGGGAGAGATCCAACCCTCACTCACTGCTTTACAGGGTTCCGCAGGGCTGGGTACTCTCTCCGCTCCTGTTTATATGAAACCGCTGGGTGAGGTCATCCGTCACCACGGACTGAGTATCACCAATATGCTGATGATACTCAGCTGTATGCCACGGCCCATGGTGAATTAAGTGTTGCTGTGTTCTCCCTCTCACAATGCCTGGAGGCTGTTAGGGACTGGATAGGGAGCAACGGGTTGAAACTAAACCCATGCAAGGCCAAGTGGCTTTGGGTCTGGGGTTCGTTGATTCAGAGAGAATTACCACCTTTAGTCTTGGATGGGGTGGCAGTACCCCAAACAGACCCTGTGCGTAATCTGGGGGTTCTCCTGGACTCACAACTCCTGTTTGAAGAGCAGGTGGTGGTGGTGGCTAGGAGGGCCTTTGCGCAACTGCGGGTTGTGCACCAGTTATACCCTTTCCTGGATCAGTGGTCCCTGCTCACAGTCACTCATGCCCTGGTCACTTCCCATCTTGATTATTGCAACACACTCTACATGGGGCTGCCCTTGAAGAGCATCTGGAAGCTCCAGTTGGCGCAAAATGCAGTGGCCGGCATGGTTTTGTGCAGACCCCGGAGCGCA